AAAGTGGGTTTGGGTCAATAAAATTTTTATCTATTCATAAGCGAGGTTTAGTCCAAGTTGGTATAATTTGATCCACTGAAGATTGTCTAAATGGGTTCAAGCCTACATGGTCACGTGTGATAGCAACGTGTACCCCTCTGTTTGCAATCTTGAGTCACCGTTTTGAGACATAATAACTATCATGAGCAGAGTTACTTTTTTTTTACTTAAATTATTATATCTTGAAACCAGGCATTCAAACATAAGTGTGTTAATTTTATTTATTGATACAAACAAACACGATTAATTAGTATTATAAATAAAAAAAAAAATATTTTATAATTTCTTTATTTAGTTTAATATGAGTCATTTTAGTGTTAAATGTTTTTTTATAAACATAAATACTAACATGAACAATATACTACTAACAGAACTGACAGGACACAACATGACGAATTATCACCCCAATAATTAATAAAAAATTATTACATAACTCAAATAAAATTCAAAAATTAAAAAGTAATACTATTTAAATCTAAAAATTTGATCTAATTTACTAATATAATGATGTGACTCCATAAAAATCATTGGATTAACACTAAATTCTAATGTTTGATTGAGTCTACATTAAATGTAAAGGTCATAGTGAATTATGTCAGTAAATTAGGTTTCAATAGTATTGCTCAAAGTTAAATCTCAAATACATCTCATTTCTTAGATGAGTAAGTCTCACCGAAAAAATTAGATTTCATTTGGGTTTGATACCATTGGTCTAATTAATATAACTGCAATTGGAGAAACTACTCAAACTCTATGCATAATTGTAGAGAGTCAATAGACTGACTGACAATACCGCCCATACACAATCCATACACATACAGTGCCTCACCTAATTGATTTTTTAAAACTGCAAAGTGTTGTATCTAGTATCAGGACAAAATTATTTTTACTGGTTATATGAATGCTTCTAAACATACATCATTACCTGCGAATCATGCATATCAATGCAATGTGGATTCAAATTAAGAATACTGATTTAAATCAGAAGACTGGTTTATATTTAATTAATTAAATATTTTTGTTTTTTGTATGTCTATTAATCTAAATAAAGAACAAAGTTACACTTGATATAATTCTTATTGTAGTTAATCTAGCGAGTGCCACTTTCTTTGGCTAAAACTGTCGATTACGACATATAATCTAAATCAGTGCATGGTGTATTATTTCGAAATAAATTTATTGACAATTCTTTTGGGTCAGATCATGAGAGATTTATTTCTCATGAATTACTTAATTTTGACAAGGATAGTCTGTCTTTGACCTGACCAGAGAGGGGACTAATCGAAGTACTCCTGAACCGGTCTGCACACCCTCGAACCCAAAAATATAATTTTTTTTGTTTTTTGAAAATGTCAGCAATACTTCATGCTTGTGTCACCTCAATGAACAATACAGTGTTTAAAGTCTTTCGTGATCTAAATGTGAACGCAGCATCATATAAGATAATTTATTTGCACTTGCAAATAAATAAAAGATACACAACTGTCAATAGTGATTTGTTTCTAATTATATTACCTTTTTTTTTTTTTTTTAAAACATATGCAACCGCTTCACGAGCTTCCCCAGTTATAAACTAAAAGAGATGTTGGAGACCCAAGTCAGACTATGGTGTACCTAACATGCTAGATTACTATTTCTTTTTAATAATCTTTTTGACTTAGTTAAGCACTTGCACTATTAATATTTTTATTGGATTGATGTCCTTCATTTAAAAAAAATATCATCTCCTACGCGTTTTGCTGTCGCAACTCGACTGTCCTCCATAATGGATAACAGATGTTTGTGGGGTTTGTAGAATTTTCAATTTTGTATCAATACTTTGTTAATTTACACTAACGTTTGAAGTCATCTGTTAATTAAAAATCTTTGAACGCTGGTGCACCTAAAATTACGTTAATCTCACTTTTGTCTCTAAAGAAGCAATAATTGTATGTTAATCATCCATATGGTTTTCAGTTTATTTTCAAATAACTATTAAGAGTAGCGTGATCATGAAAAATTTAATTACACCATAGTCTTTGGGAGAAATTTTTTATATAAATTGTTAGATCGTGATTTAATGGTTATTAATCGTAGTAAGGTGTTGGTTCCTTGTGGTGTTCCAAAACACTATTCGTTCACGTTGGTTTTGAGACTGGGGACTGGTATACTGCTTTTAAAAAAATTTGTTAAATATTGATATGTCAATATACGCACTTCATATGCGTCAAGATACTACTTTTGGGAAGATTGTATGATTTGTGTTTTTGGTGGTGGGCTAGATATATTCGGTGTGTAAATTTTTACTAGTCAACATACATATATGAGATATTTTTGTTACAAATTGTTGCGGTCTCTATTCTATGAAAAAATTTCTTTACATGTATTGAGATCATTATTAATGTCACATTATGTACTTCAAATATTATCTATGTTTATTTTGGAAAACTGAAACTTGCATAATCTTGTTTAGGGTTGGAAATTTTTTTATATTGAGCTAATTGTGCTCACCTTTTTATTTGATATTTTTTAAATTTTGGTAATAAGGCTGATACTAGTGTAGGTGAGTATGTGAATTTGAATTTTGAAGTGGAGCAGAATATGGAACCGAATTTTGAGGCCTACTAATGGAGGATTTGATTTATTTTAATATTTCTTTTTATTGTGATTCGTGTGTGTGATGAACAATCAATGAAACGGAATAATAGAAGGACACAAAAATTTATGTGGTTCAACCATTTGCCTACATCCACGATCTTAGAGCGACTACCTTGCTTTTTTTATTTCACACTGAATTAGGGTTACAAATTAACTTACGTTAAAACTTTAATTAGGACATCCCAAAGGTAGGTGCTACTCCATACTGCGGGGGGGAAGGGGGGATTATGCCCCCCGCATCCTCCAGCCTATCTTTGATCTAGTTGTAATTTGGATCTGCTAAATGACCAATTGTCTTCGCTCACGCTCCTACAACTGACCCATTATCCTTTTGAGCCTGGTGTAACTCTAAATACTCTAAATATGAGCCACCTATTTCTACACTTTTGATGTTAAGAATAAGCTATGGTCATAATTGAAATAGCTTAAAAGAAGTTTATGTTTTTGGATTGTACCTTTTTTTCATGGTTGAATTGTTGTTTTAAGATATTTAGTTAGATAATGTTGTTTTGACTCATTGAATGGGATTATTATGTAATGGGATTATTATGTATGTTTTCATAATTTTAAAGGTTATTAGTTAGATAACGTTATTTTATAAATATGGGGATGTGACATATTAGGATTACAATTAATGTGCTATTGAAAATTTTCTTATTAGTAAAGAGTTAAACTTGGTAAGTCTTCACATTGAATTTTGGTCATCTTCGATTAGTAACCGTTAGATTTCACGATCTAACGGTTCACACACAAAAGTTTCACTAGAAGTTCTAGTGCAGAACTTTCATCATCCTGCTACTCTAAATAAGAGAATCAAATTAAAGCATCATTTTTTTAAATTTTAGAATTTTGATTTGTTAATTGCAAGACAAAATGCATTTCAACCAACACCTAACACTTAACTTCCTAAGTTCTTTTAGTCTCTCACTAACATAGACTAAGATATTGCCATTGGACTTCAAGCCAAACCACATCTATTTTTGAGTTTTTTATTTTCTATTTTATTTCGTTTGTTTGTTTATGACATTTGTTCGTAACAAACTCGTATCAAAGCTATGTTTCAGGATGTTGCAACATAGAAAAATTTGATGATCACCCCGTTATTTTGATGGATTGGTTTGACAAAAATTGTTGAGGAGACATTGCGATCATTGTTGACCGATATTTAATATGTTGGCTATTATGGAGAAAGTAGCAAGTCATATTCACTTTTTATTGTGATGACTTATTTGGTATAAAAGTGAAGATGCAGATTTGTTATAAATATTTGCGGGTATCGGTGAACATAAGATATCGACCCGAACTATGTATAGTTTTGCAATCTATATATATATATATTGTTTCATTCATTTGTTTGTGCCTTTTTTCATAGCACACGGGAATAGGCTAATATTAGACACGAATAATTCATCTATTGCATTATAAAAAGAAATATACAACTTTCTATTCATTCTTTTTATTTCTTTGCTAAATTATTATTTTAAAATTAATACTTATTTTGATTCTACACCAAAATAACACAATTTAAATAAAATGCGGTCCCAAATAAGACAACATGTATATGATACGGATGATCCAATTAATACCCCTAAAATTTTAAACTTTTCAAAATTATAGGAATCTTCTGGCATTAAAATTAGTACAGAGAAGGGTCCACAAGACTATTTTACTAAAGCGAAAGATTGTGACAAGTTCCCATCAACTAAGTCGTCTTCCGTGGTCTCACCGGCCCTTAAGCCGTTTATTGGGGGTGATACCAAATAGCAGCAAAATTGTAAACAAAATGACTAATTTTTATCTTGATAAAAAAAGGAAAAACGTGAAGCTCCTATCATGACAACATACAATAACTAGTTTCCGAAAAAATAAAGACATACAATAACTTACATATATATATATATATTTTTTTTTTTTTCAACTTTGGAGTTTAAATAGAATTTATATTAATTATTTAATCGGATCTCCATTAAAACATCTGAAAAACCAAATCCCAACCTAGTTTAATAACAAACCCAAATTTGAGTTCCATCCACTGCCCCCATTGACAACAAAAAAACGAAGGAAAAAGAGCAAAGAATCATAAAGAAGCTATGGTAAGTTTAGTACAAATTTTTACCAATGTGATGGCAAACATTGGTCCAGCAATGAGCCTTATCTTGTTCCTGCTAAACCATTAAAAAAGGACTAACAGTAAGAAAAGCCCGCCTGAGATTCAAAAATTGTGTTTCAGTTTCAACTCTTGCATGTTGTTTTCTGTAATCTCTCCCAATCACGGAGAGAGAGAATTAAACTCATTTCTTTTACCCCGGTTTTGCCACCATAGAACATTTGGAATAATCATGAAATGCAAAACTTGGTATAAAGGTAGGACCATAATTATATGAAATTCAAAGACTATACCCATTCATATCATTACCACATCAACAATACACCTCCCCAACTAAAGAACAGAACAAAAGACTGCCGGAAAAAAAGAGTAGTTATAACCAAACACGCCATTCCCCTAATATGAACAGATCTTTCCCATATCACCCCTCCACTGCTAACAAACAGAGAGATAAACTAATTTCAAGGATAGCGAAATAGGGGGAAAAGAAAAAGATTATTACATAACTTTCCAAGACTCCAGAGTGGGAAAGCTAGAAAAAGAGTCAAAATCAAAACCCCCCCACCACCACCGTCAGTCACCACAGCCGGCTGAGCAACAGTAATCGCCGGCTGAACCATGGAAGCGGAACTTGGACCCACAACTTGCTGATGATGGTCGAGCAAAAAAGCTGACGTGTCCAGAGTTGGCAAACAATACTGCAGCCGGTTAACCGGTCGCTGGGGCTCCGGTTTCAAAACGGGAGCGACCGGCAGCTGTCCGTTGCCGAACCTCACTCCGGTCACCTGCTGCACCATCTGCCGGAAATTAGCTGGATCGGCGGTTATAAACGTCGTCGTAGTACGCTTCGAAGCGCGTGACTTCCTCTTCGTTATCTTCCCGCCAGTCACCCCGGTCCGGCGTTTCGGCCCAGTTTCGTGGTCAGACCCTGAAACGCTAGGGGTCTGAACCGACGTCGTTTCGTGCTTGGCCATGTTAAACAAGGGAGAGATCATGTCGTTAGTGACGATGTCCGAGTGGTTGGAGAGTGACTTCTGGAGGGCTTTGGTTAGAGTCTCGGTGTCTCGGGCAAAAGCTTCAGAAATCCAAGAGTCAGTGAATGTTGGTCGAAAAGCCCATGTTTCCATAGTCGCCAAATTCTCCGATGAAGCCATTTTCTCAGACAAAAATATCTTAATCACTTTTTGCAGAGGCAAAAGATTAGCTCAACCAAGGGTTTTAATAGTTCTCAACATTTTTAAGAACCCAAATTATATTGTAAGGAGTAATCAAAACTGAAACGAATAAAGGAAAATTGAAACAACGCACAGAAAAATCAAGTGGGTTCTGCATAAATGGTAGCTAAAATTCAGAGTATGTGAGAGAGAGAATGGTGGATCAGAGTCTGTTTGTGGGAGAGAGGAAAATGAAAAGTTGATCGAGGAACATGAGAAGAAAATGGGAGTTAGACAGGGGGATGCAGGGGAGGCATAAATAGGGCGGTGGGGGTGGGGAGGATGAAACCGCGTTCCTCGGGACACGCGTCAGCTACTGTGTACGGGCACTAAACCATGGGTTAGCATTATTTGACTGTAGAGGTTGTGTTTTAATAATGCTAGTGGTAGCAGTACTACTACTTAATCAGCTACTGCGGTTTGACGGTCAAGCCGCGTCATCGGCTATGTCGTTGAGACGTCGACGCGGCTTATGATTGTTTTACATATGCACGGTTACTGTCAGACTACTTTAGTAGATTTCGATTTTTTAATTTTATTTTTGGATAAATTACAAGGACACCCCTCCAAAGTTTCTGACATTTTCACTGCACCGTTTCTTGTTTGTAAAATAGTATTTTTTAAGTTTTTATTTGGCATACAACGCCTTTCTACCGATTTATTTTTTTTTTGATTAAATTATACTGACACCCCTCTAAAGTTTCTGACATTTTCACGGCATCCCTTCTTTGTAAAATAGCATAACACCCCTTGTGATGGAACAATTTATAAAAATTTCCCCATTAGTTAACGAACGATTGAATTGTCAATTTTGCCCTTGAAATAACCCATTTTGGTCTCACACGTAAATATATCTATTATAAAAAAATATGAAAGGCTAACAACTTAACTTCTTTCTTCTCATCTCAAAGCTATTCTCCTTTCCATCTCCTTAAAATTCACCCAAATATACTGATGATACCCACAATATACCTAAGGCTGAGCTCGAGTATTCAGTTCAGACCTTTCCAACTCAAACACTCAGCCCATCTTGGATGATTAGGAAACTTGAGGTCAGACCCTCCATCCCTGCAATTGCATCTCCACAAGGATAGCACAGAAGACAACTGGCTTCCACTCAAGCGCCACACAAATTGTAATGGGCATTATATTCAGGCAGAAAAGTCGCAATTGCCTCAACAACCTCCACGATCGTTGCATGATAGGTGCAACCGTTACTAGAAGGAGGCAATGATCATGCCAGAGATCAGGCGAGGCCCTAGACCAACTATAAATAGGAGGCATAACCCTTACAAGAGCATACAAGCAATGTTAGCCTAAGCAAATATTCTGTATAACCTTCCCCCATTATCAATAATATCTTCAGGAGTAAGAGGCTCCCTTCAGAGTGGATTAGTCGAGCTCCCGAACTGATGAATCACTATAAATCCTCTGTTTGCAATCCCCCTTTCCCCTATATAAATTCTTAAGAGCCTAGGAGTTTCGACTGAGCTATTTAGTAACCTTTGGATCCCAAGCTATCATTAGCTCCACTCATTTGTGTGACATAGGCCATCAGTTGGCACTGCCTATGGGAAAGATTGTTCATATAAAAATTCTATTGAAAATCTTTAGTAATTGATGGTTTTTACATGTAACATAAGTAGAAGTCAAATGAATTCTCTCCGTTTATAGAATCAACTAGAGTTTGCCACTGGAAGACATCAGGAAAACCTACCTAATCCTGAGGATGACCCTCCAATGGCGAATCTTCGTCTAAATAGCGAACTTCAGGCCCTTCATTAACCCAAGCAGCGCCTCCTCCAACAAAATGAAAAACTGCTAAACCTCATCCATGCCCAACATCCCCAGAGGGCATATCCAGCCTAGGATGGTCCCTAGTGTGGGGAACATCAACATCTCAATCCCTTAAGGGAAAATACGAAAAGGAATGAGCACAACCAATCTTTCGACAACATGCGTTATCAAGCTCAAAAGAATGGAGAAGACAAGGAAGTGCAAAGCCAGAATAGGGGGACTCACAAAAAAAAGCTTCTCCCACTCCAACAGGAAAGAAATGAGCAGTTGTAGGAGGAACGCTTCAAGGAGATTCAACCAGAACTCAGCCATATAAAGGAGGTTGTAAGAGGTAAAACTTCGATGACTATGGACGCTCTAGTCCAGTAGACAGAGTCTCCCTTTACCTTAAAGGTGCTATATTTTTCCCTTCCACCAAAGTTTAGAATGCCTCAGATAAAGACCTTTGATGGAACAATGGATCCTATGGACCATCTAAATACCTAAAAAAATCAAATGGAGTTACATGGGTGCCAAGACCTAGTGTGATACCGAGCTTTTGCCATTACATTGAAGGGCTCAACCTTAGTCTGGTTCAATAGGATGACCCCAACATCCATTTTCTCCTTTAGGAAGCTCTCCATCTCATTCGTCTCACACTTCACAGGAGCTCAAACCTACCGAAAGTTGAGCTGTCACTTACTGAATGTGAAACAAGGACCAAACAAGACATTACGGAGCTACATTCAAAAGGTCAATTCAGAATCTATAAAACATCTCTGATGAGAATTTTCCCTCACTGTCTTCATTGCCGGGCTGGGAGTTTAGTGAAAGGACTTTATGTTCTCCATCTCCAAGAACCCATAAGCCAGTATGGCTGAGGTCTTTGCCAAGGTGGAGAAGTATATTAATGGCAAGGAAGCTCTCCTTTTAGAGGCTAGGAGCTCGACTACCCACAAGGAGAAAGAAAAGAGGAAGGATCGAGTCTGAGGAAGGAGAGGAGTTGAGATCGGTCTCCATGAAGAGATAGAGATCGCTCCCTAAAGAGGAGAGGAGATATTAGAGATCGTCTAGGACCTCTACCTCAGGAGTTATAGCCGAGGTATGCCCCATGACAATTCACTCCTCTCAATGCCACAATATCCTAGGTACTATATGAGGTACAAAATAAAAAATTCCTAAGGTGGACCCCTCAGATGAAGGTAGACCCTACAAAATGGAACACAACAAAATACTGCGAGTACCACCAGGACCACGACCATCTCACCGATGATTACTTCCAGTTTAAGAAGGAAATTGAGTTCCTAATTCAGAGGGAGAAGTTGCGCCGCTTCATAACATAAGACAATTAGAATTAAGTTCATCCACCCCTAACACCTCAGCAGCAAGCTCCTCTACAACACCAACAACTATTGGGAGAAATCAGGGTGATATCGGGAGGATTTGCTAGAGGTGGAGAAACCAACTCAGCTAGGAAGGCCCATATGTGAAAAGTCTGAGCTGAAGATGTTTTGGCGATAATATCTATGTCCAAAACACCTCGGCTAAGCATGAATATCACCTTCTCAGATTCAGATCTGGATGACTACCAACACCCTTATGATAATCCGTTGGTAGTAAGGGTAATTATTGCCAATATAAACATTCATCGAGTCCTAATTGACAATAGAAGCTCTATTGACATCATTTTTGCATCAGTTTTTGATAAGATGAACATTGGCAGAGACAAACTTGAGCCAGTGAGAACTCACCTACTTAGGTTCTCTAGAGAAATGATGCTTCCCCTAGGCTAAATCTAGCTTGTTCTCACAATAGGAGATCCTCCGAGCCAGTCAACTACAACTGTTAGATTCTAGGTTATAAATGTTCCATCAGCATATAACGTCCTCTTGGGGAAACCTTCCCTTAACGCGTGAGAGCTATTCCCTCTACCTATCATTTAGTAATAAAATTTTCTACTGAGAATGGCATTGGGGTGGTTCGAGGAGACCAACGAGTGGCACGAGAATGCTACATGGCGTCTATGAAGAAGAAGAAGGTCAAGACCACATAGTTGGATGAGTTTGATATGAGAGACGAGCTGGAAACAAGAGCCACGCCTTTAGAAGAGCTAAAACCAATCCAGTTTGATGAGGACCCAGGGCACTTGGTATATGTGGGGTCAAAAACTGCTTAAGGAGATTAAGGACCTCCTTATTTAGTTTCTAAAAAGAAACATCGAGGTATTTGTTTAGAACAAGAGGATATGCAGGGGATTAAACCCCTCAGTCATTACGCAAAAGCTCAGCGTGAATCCGACCTTCAAGCCAATAAAGCAGAAATGGAGAAACTTTGCTCTAGAATGCCAAAATGCCATAAATGAAAGAGGTGTCCAAGCTCCTCCATGCCAAGGCCATCAGGGAGGTAGATTACTGATTTGGCTGGCTAACTTGGTCATAGTTAAAAAGACCAACGACAAATGGTGCTTTTATATTGACTTCACCGACTTGAATTGTGCCTACCCCAAAGATAGTTTTTCATTACCTCGCATTGACTTGATAGTGGATGCTACAACAGAGGACATACTGTTATCAAGTCATGCTGTTAAGGTAAAAGAACACCGAGGCCACTTGCCAGCAATTGGTAAATCACATATTCCAAAGGCAGATCAGAACATCTATGGAGGTCTACATTGATGATATGCTGGTAAAGTCACTAAAGGCTAAGTTCCATATCCAGCACCTCGAAGAATCTTTTCAGATTCTAAAGAAATACCAAATAAAGCTCAATCCAACCAAATGAGCCTTTGGGGTCTTCGTTGAAAAATTCCTGAGATTCATAGTCAATAGCCAAGGCATTGAGGCTAACCTAGAGAAAGTCTGAGCTGTAATTAACATACAACTACCTGTAAACACTAGGGAGGTTCAACGTTTGACAAGAAGAATAGTAGCTTTAAGTCGCTTTGTCTCTAGGTCAAGCGACAAATGCCAACCTTTCTTCCAAGTTCTGAAAAAAGCATTCCAATGAGATGCATAGTGTGGAGAAACATTCAAAGCCCTCAAAGATTATCTCAGCTCACCACTTGTTCTTGTGAGCCCTCGAGAAGGAGAAGTGCTCACCCTGTACTTGGCAGTCTTAGACTTTTCCACAAGTACAACCTTGGTAAGAGAGTTGGATCGAGCTCAGCAACCAGTCTTCTACTGCTACAGAGCTCTGAGATGAGTAGATGAGAGATATCAAAAGATGAAAAAACTAGTTCTAGCCTTGGGTGACAGTAGCACAGAGACTCAGACCTTATTTCCAACCTCACATAATAGAGATCTCCATAGATCAACCAATAAAATAGGTCTTACACAAGTCAGAATCATTGGGAAGATTGGTCAAATGGGCAGTAGAGCTTAGTGAGTTTGACATTAGATATAAGCCTAAGACTGCTATCAAAGGACAAATATTGGCAGATTACATCGCAGAGTTCACGACAGGTCGAGAAACATCGCTGGAGGCAACCCAGCTGGTATTCGACCTCCCGACGTGGAAGCTTTATATAGATGGAGCAGCCAATGCCCAAGGCAACGACGCTAGATTAATTCT